GATTGAAATGGATTATTACCTAGAAGTGGTAATAAGTCCATTAAATGAGAATTGAAAAAGGGGTATTTGTTCCTAAGCTTGCTTTGATGAGTAATTGGTGATGTTTAATGTGTTGATTGTGCATGTGTGTGTGCTGAAGATGTGTGAATGTGTGGGTGCTGATTGTGTATGGTGTGTATGCCGTGTGTGGTTGTATATTTATGTGTGTGAATTTGGGATTTTTGCCCAAATCATAAATATGTGATAAATTGTGATATTTGTGTGATTTGTGGCACTTGATTGATATTTGTGATGTCATGAGTGGGTTATAGCATTATTTTGAAAAGTTGCATTAAATGATTTTTATTTGAAAGATTAATGGAATATCGGGTAATAAACAACTCGGATATAGTGGGCCGGTATCCAACTAGGATGATGTGTGTAGTGGTTTGATTCCACTTAGTGAAAACGGGCTCGTAACAGGTTTATTATCCGGTACAGAAATTAATCTTTCACGGATCCGATAAACCGAAAAATGTGTTTTTCATGATTTTCACAAAAAAGGCATTTTAGTCATTTCAGCATAATTACGTGATTTTGTGAAATGATGTGTTTTCGTAAGATATGTGATTTGACCGATTGCCTTGTGTTGTGTACGAAACGTGGGTAAGAACGGGTATACTATATTACATATTATATATATAACGTATTTCCAAAGTTCGATAATACTCGGATTTCTTACTGAGTTTTATAGCTCATATAGATGTCTTTTAATTGCAGGTAGTAGTGCTAGTAATCCTCAACCGGGATGGATCGAGTAGTGGATCGAGGTCTTACCCGGAATTTTGGAAGACGTACGAGGACCTATGAACGTAGCTCGAACCGAAAAATGTTTAGTGAGAATGTAGCACTCGAATGAGAAACCTCCTTTCGAAACTTATTTCCAAACCAAGCTTTGTATTCGGCTAAAGCAATACAACAAAGTTTTCGAAAATGCAAAGCCTTCAAAACTCCAAAAGAAGATATTTTTAATAATTGCATTTTCACCCCATCCCAATGTTTCAAAAATTACAAAGAGATCCTTTGCTTCCGCTAGTATAATGAATATTCCGATAAACCGGTTCGATTTATCGCCCATCTAGCAGGGGGTGCTACAGTATGAGAATCAATATTAGTATCAATATTTGTATATGAATGAGTATTAGTATTAATGATATGTATGAGTATCACTATTAGTATCAATATCTGTATCATTCTCAATATGAGTATGAGTATGAGTATCAGTAAGAGTGTTAGTATTACTATCAATATCATTATCAATATTAATATGACTATCAGTATAAGTATTAGTATAAATATGGGTATATGTATTAGCATTAAGATTAGTACCGGTATCAATATTATCGGTATCAGTTTGAGTATCGGCATCAATATAAATATTAGTTTTAATATAAGTATGAGTATTCGTATGAGTATAAGTATGCTTATCAGTATAAATATCATTTTTAGTGGGTATATATATTATTATCAATATCAATATTATCGGTACCAGTTTCAGTATCAATATCAATATAAGTATTAGTATTCATATCACTATGAGTATACGTATGAGTATAAGTATCTGTATTAATATCATTTTAGTGGAGATATGTATTAGTATTAGTATTAGTATTAGTATTAGTATTAGTATTAGTATTATCGGTATCAGTTTGAGCATCCATATAAGTACAAGTATGATTATTAGTGTGAGTATCGGTATCAACATTGTCGGTATCAGTTTGAGTATCAATGTGAGTATCAATGTGAGTATCAGTATAAGTATTGGTATCAATATCAATATGAGTATCCGTATGAGTATAAGTATCCTTATCGGTATTAATATCATTTTTAATAATAATATTAGTATCAACCTTAGTATTAGTATATAGCAATTTCAATATCAGTATCAATATTGGTGTCAGTATTAGTAACATTATCAATATTAGTATGAGTATCAATATGAGTATCAATATGAGTATGAACATGGTTATCAGTATTAGTATCAGTAGCAGTATCAATATTAGCATCAGTATCAATATGAGTATCAGTATAAGTATAAGTATAAATATCAGTATGAGTATGAGTATCAATGTATCAGTATGCGTATCAATATTAGTATCAGTATGAGTATATGTATGATTATTAGTATTAGTATCAATATCAGTATTAGTTTCAGTATCATTATTAGTATCAATATTAATACTAATATCAATATTAGTATGAGTATTAATATGAGTGTAGGTATAAATATTAATATTAGTATTAGTACAAGTATCAATATCAGTATCAGTATTAACATCAACATCATTATCAGTATTAGCGTCAGTATGAGTATAAGTATATTGTATCAGTATTAGTATCATTATTAGTATCAGTAGTAGTATCTATATCAGTATGATTATCAATATTAATATCAGTAGTAGTATCAATATTAGTATCGGTGTGAATACCAATATGAGTATTATTATTATTATTAGTATTTTTGCTTTTTGTTATCAAGCCGGAATAGGCGACTAATATTACTTGCAATGTTGTTTACAAGGAAGTTTTTTAGGGAATATGAATGTACATCAAATGTTGTATATTGTGATTCAGATACACATTTATTATTTGTATTTTTTATATGTATAATTATTGTCGTGTTAAGTTTATTTGCAGTTCATGCTGATTTTATTGTCGACTCCGCTGAAGTTTTTTTTTTTCTAAATCAATGTAATTTGGTAATAAATGTATTTATTTCTTACACTTTCAGGTGATTTATATTTCATTGCATTTGAACAATGAAAAATGTGCATGTTACTCGCAAGGTAATGAGTTACAGGCAATGTCAATGCATGTGTTGCAATACACTACTTTGATAATTTAAGTTTTCTGTTAAGGATCCGAGTGTATGGGTCAGATAATGTATCTTATTTTCATTTCACAGTTTTTCGTATTTTATATTTTCTTTATCATTTATTTTGTTTATCTCGGTACTTCAATCAAATGAAATTGATATTATTTTAAGAAAAATAGATTATACCGTATTATATATCAACTATTCAAAGTTTTTGTTCAATTATTTTATCTAAAAAATATTTTCATTTTTTATATTACCCTCATGCATTGCATTAGAATCCTCTTTTCATCCGCAAAGGTGTTTGATTTACATCATCGACGGCTTTTAGACATTAAAAAAAATTGAACTTAGAATTGATCCCCGTGCATCGCACGGGTGAGTTACTAGTTTGTATAATTTGGTAAAATTAGTGTGAATTTAGCATATGAGTTAAATTTAATATCTGATTCTTTTCTTTTGTCCTTTTCGGGGGCAAGTTCCTCCTTTAGTTAGTTTACTTTCAATCATAATCAACTTCTATTAAATTCAAAATCTCACGCTGTTTTACGACGGAGATCTTTGTTGTGAATATTTTTAATTAAGACAAAAAAATATCATGTTGTTGCTTATCTGTTTTTCCCCGTTTTTTCTTTAGAAAAAATTATGTATACTACAAAACACCGTCGACACCACTAAAATTCGTATATTCCTATCAAATTTTATATTTTTCTAATTTTATTTCAGAAATTCTTTTTTGAAAAATTGATTAAGTAATGCTTCACAAAATGGTAAATAGATGGTTAACAGGGTATTACCTTCATTGCTAAGCTTTCTTTTCCTCCTAATGACATTACTTTTGAGTTAAGCTTTCTTCCTCTCTAATTGACATTAATTTCGAACTAAATTTTTTTCCTCTCTTAATGTTACTAGCTTCGCGTTAAGTTTTCTTCCTCTCTTAATGAATTAGCTCATGTGTTAAGCTTTTTTCCTCTTCTAATGACATTACCTTCATTCTAAGCTTTCTTCCTCTTCCAATGGCATTACCTTCGTTCCTCAGCTTCCTTCCTCCCCTAATGGTAGTAGCTTCTAGATAAGTTTTATTAATCTCTTAATGGCATTAGGTTAGGTACTAAGCTTTCTTTCTCTCGTAACGACATTACCTTCGTTGCTAAGCTTTCTTCTTCTCTCAATGGCATTTGCTCGAGTTAAGCTATATTCATCTCTAAATGGTATTAACTTTGAGTGAAGCTTTCTTTCTTTCTAATTGCATTAGTTTCGAGCTAAACTTTCTAACCTTCTTCATGCTATTAGTTTCGAGTGAAGTTTTCTTCATCTACTGATTAAACTTTGGTGCTCAGCTTTTTTCCTCTCCCTAAGCTTTCATACACTCCTAATGGCATTAGTTTCTTGTTAAACATTATTCCTCTCTATTTGGCATTATATTTTCGAGTTAAACTTTCTTACTCTTTAATTTGCATTAGCTTCAAGCTGATTCTTCCTCCCTTAGGTGGTGTTTGCAAATGCTTTTTGAAAGTGATTATGCAGTTTTTTTTGCTCATAATCTGTTTTTACGTGTTTGCAAAATCAACTTTTGCTTTTACTTCTCTTAAAATAATCTGATTTAAGCTATTTTTTTTAAAGCACCCATAACCCTGCTTTTTCAATTTTAGTTCATTTTCCGAAATATTTGCAAACACCCCCAACTTTTAGAAATAAGCACTTAAAACTAACTTAAATCACAATCACTAACTTCTGCTTTTAAATAATCATTTGCAAACACCACCTTAATGTTATTAGCTTCAAGTTAAGCTTTATTCCTCTTTTTATGACATTATCTTCGATGCTAAGTCTTGTTTCTCTCATAATAACACTATTCGGGATATATTGCAAATATACGGGTCAACAAAAATGAAAAGATGTAACAATATAAATTTTGATGGTGCATACATTCACATATTTGAAGATCGCAACTGCTCATAGAGCAAGGGGTATATCTAAGAATACAAACCGATAGATTCCACACGTAACTTACAAGGCTAACAACAAGTATAAAAATGAGACCAGAACAGGAATAGTGAATACATTAACTCCACCAATACAATGACATGAACCATAAAGTATTGAGTCGATTAGTTTAATTTCCAGACCTCTATATACGTATATAAAAAAAAGAAATATAAATTGGATAACCACAAAAACGAGCAGTAGCAAGCAAATTGTCAATACATAATATTAGCATTGTTCCAGGCCTAAACACACCATCATTTTCTTTTTCACAAATTAAGAAAAGGTCTCTAGATAGATTAGATGCACACAATAAAATTAGTTCACAACCCTATTATATGAAAATTAACACAACTAAATGTTCCATAATATATATATATATATATATATAGCCTCTCTGAACTTGGAAACTGTAATCACCTGCACATGAAAAATCCGAAAAGATGTTAAATGCTAGTAAAAGCATATAAAGCTCAAGTTGTTAAAGAGTGTATATTTCTACGGCATAAACTGGAAGGACTACATTGCAATTAATTGACTTCTTTCATGTTACATGCAAAAATATGTAAATATAAGAGACATTAATGCACCTGCTTACATTTCTACGTACAATTTGAACAAGTGAAACTTTTCAAACTGCACTCGGGATATTATCAGTTTGTATCAATGAAAAGATTTCAAGCTCAGGATATTTTCTAGAGAACTTGATCTATGAGTACATTACTGTCTTGGACATTAATTCATACGAAAAAACATACGGAAATAAAAACTGCAAACGGATAACTTCCATTTTACTACATGCATGTCCAACACATATAGCAACACCTACAACACTTGGACAATCCCAATAACTCAAAGACTAATTATCCAACATCTTACGAAAAGTTGTAATTATAAGTTAATGTTGCACTAGAACATAATAAATTAACGAGTCCCTGTACTTTTTATATTGGAGGATGAAAAGAAAATTTTAATACATGCCCATATCGAGATTCAAGTCTAAGTCTCGGAACGTAGTCTTGCCAATATGTAGATAGATTCTCACTAACGAACAAAAGCAAAAAACAAAGACATATATTCAATATAAATCTTCATGTGTGTATGAAAAATAAAATAGTAAAACATATAGCAGCAGCTGAAGAAAGACAAAACGAGAAAAGTGATTATACCTATAGCCGGCGAGGAGGACGGACAATTTCAACAAACTCTACATAGTTATGTGTGACGGAAACCCGAGCTCGGAAAGTTTTGAGATACTCTTCATCGTCATCTTGTTCATAGTCATACGTAGGCTTAGCGGTAAACACCAAATCAATCATAAACACTGGGGGTAAATGTCTAGTTGCACGCACCAGCTCTATCAAACTGTATCGGATGGCCTACACAGACACACATGCATAATAAAATAAAAGAAGCAATTTAAGCATTTATTAGTAGTTGTAGAGTGAACATAAACAACAAATTATTTTAAACGAAAAAAAAAATGAGAAACAAGATACATACATGTGTCTTGTTGTAGACTTGAATAGCTAAATCAGCACATCGTTGGACAATTTTCATTGTTTCATCAGCAAAGCTGGTGGGACCTCCATCATAGAAGACGGGGCCTATAGGGAAAATTTTCATTTTCCCAATCTTCTGATCCTCTGGAAATTCAAAATAATCTACATAATCATTGCTGATCGAAACCCGACCTCGAACATTTATGTGATTCTTATCAACACCATCCTCCTCGGGCTCAGGCTGAACGGTAAAAATCATATCCAACACCACAATTGGGAATCTTTCTTCAGTTGCATGCACCATACCCACAAAACTGTATTTGTTGAGCTGCACACACACACACACACACACACACACCTAATTATTAATTAACTAATGAACACGAAATTAAATTATATTGAAGAAAAAATAAAAAAACAATATACATACATGTGTTTTGTTGAAGACATCAATAACTAATTCGGCAGCTTGTTTCATAATTTCCATGCGATCTGGATTACGGCGGGTCGGATCTCCGTTATACCAGACGGAGAATCCTGCTGGACCAAAACGTTTTGGTTTCTTTTGTGTCGTCTCATAACCCAAATCCTCCTCACACACATGCAATTTGTACTTTTTTACCACTTTCTTCATCGAAATTTTTTCCGGTTCCTTCATCGAAACTTTTATCATGCCGCCGTGTTCGGTACAAGCCATCTCTCTCTCTCTAACGAAACCCTAGTCGATTTTCCCCTTTCGTTGGTTTCGTTTTCTTTTTCTCGATATATATACTTTATTTGATTTATAATTATAACCGGACAAAAATTGTTTTATGGGCTGGATTTTGAGAATGGGTTGGGCTGATTTACTTTTTGGGTGAAATTGAATCAGACCCATGGATCCATGAAGTTTTGCTACAAAGGGTCATCATTTCAAACAAGACAAAATCGGACGCCTCAATTTAAGACACACGTGTATAAGATAGTCATCGCAAAATTTGGGTTAAATTTTAGAGGTCTGCCCCTTAAAGTAAGGCTCGTTTTGCACTTTGCCCCCCAAATAAAAAATATCTGTACGTTTTTACCTAAACTTGCTATTTTGTTGCACAATGTCTAAAAGTTGCCATTTTCCGGCAAAATTCAGCGGAAACCCGAGCACGCGCACCATGAGATTGATAGGGGTAATATTGTCTTTGTCTAACATTCTTAGGTTTAATTTTCTCTCCTTTTTTTTCATCTTTTCTGCCTATTTTTCCTTTTTTCTTTTTTTTTTCTTTTGGGTAAATTACAAACACCCCCTGAGGTATGACCAAATTACAAAAACATCCCTCTTGTTTGGATAATTGCAACCACCCCCTCAACTCATTAAATTTAGTGGAATCTTCGAGATTATATGGAATATTATCACTTTTGTACCCGTTTTATCCCATTCAAACTCTACATTATGAAGCAAGATGACCATAATATGTGATTTTTAGCTTGTATATATCAGTTTGTGGTGCATCGAAAACTGTATTTTTTACACAAAGAGTACAAACTAGAGCACATTTCACGGAATATAGATGACTATGTTGAATTTGGCACCATAAAGGTAAGAAAAAATCATAGTTGAGGGGAATATATGTAATTATCCAAACAAGAGGGGGGTTTTTGTAATTTAACCATACCTCAGGGGGGTGTTTAGTAATTTACCCTTTTCTTTTTTCCTTATGTTATCTGCGTGCCTTTCTCTATCAAATTCATTGAAATTCTCCAGTTCTTTTTCCCTCATTATTCTTCTTCCCCATCCTTTCATCAGTTATCGCAGTAAGAAAATTCTTACCCAACTTCTTTATCCCCATCATTTCATCACCTATGGCAGCAAGAAAATATTACCCAAATTGCATACAGAGAGAAACGAGTAAATCTTGTGGGTTTCTCTCAAGATTGTTGTACATGCAACGACGTTGAGAATCGACCTTTTGATGATTTATTATTCCTCCAACAAGACGGTTTGATTCCGACGCATATTCGGTGCCGGAAAATAATATTATTTGTAGCCAAAAGTGGGTGTATTATGAATTCGCGTCCATTTCAGCTTTTGACGATGATGATGCGAGAGAAACTAGTTTTGTTGTAGCACTCTCCAATTGAAGCAGCAACATTAATCTTTGTAATTTTCTTGATTTTTTTCCCTTTTCTCTTCTCTCCTCTCTCTTTCAAAAGTACCCACATGTTGATGTAAGTAAAACACAATTTGAGTAATGGTGTCTGATAATTAAGGGAAGATTAAGGTTTGCTTTTGCCCTCAATTTTTTGTTCCTTTTCTTATTCTTTTTATGTTTTATTTTGGAGTATTATCCTTTTCCTAAGTTAGGGGTGTAAAGAATTGGATCGAAATTAGTTCTTTTAGAAAAAAATTGATTTTTTTTAAATGAAAAAACTAATTCTAATTCCGTTTCAAAAACATTGGTTGGAATGAAAAACATGTTCAAAAATCGAAAAATTTAGGATCGGAATAGGTGCAATTCATAAATTTCAATTTTTTGTAACCTAAAATATAAAATACATATTAATATTAGTATTTTAAGTGTAGTATTTGGAGCTGTAAAAAAAATCGAGTAATATTCGGAAAAATGAAATTTCCGGATCATAAAATCGTATCGAAAATCATTATTTTATATATATTCCAATTCCAATCCAAACAATTTCGGATCACAATCAACGAAAATCGTCCGCCCTAGTTGCAACTAATACTTCAACTCTTTGTTATTGATGTACACATGTTTCATAGTGCGTCCGATTTTCATTTGTAAACTGAACGTCCGTTTTTTATTTAATCTCTTTTAAGCTCCACATATCTTCATAAACTCGAGGGGATGCAGATTTAGACATTTAGTGGTTAAATTATCATCAAAATTTGCTCAAAGTAGTATTTTGTTTAAATATATCATCACAACCTCGAAACTAGATTTATACAGGGAGAGGGAGAGAGAGAGAGAGAGAGAGAGAGAGAGAGAGAGAGAGAGAGAGAGAGAGAGAGGAGTATTTTTTTCAGATTGTTAGGACAAAGTACTTTGTTATGCCCCCTTTGACTGTTGCCAAGGCAATTGAGATGTTGGAGAATGTAGATCATGACTTCGGAAACTGGTAAATTTTTCAATATGGTTTGTTTCCGTTTTTCGTCTTTCGATTTTCTTATGGTTGTTTCTTATCATTCTACAGGTGAGATTAACATTGTTTACGCGAGAAATGTGGAGGTTATGGACTTATTATTCCTAAAGAAAATAGCTAAACAGAGGATGTAGAGAGCTCTGTACCTGGTTCTGGTTCTGCTACTTACTAAATTCGGTGAAGATGGGATCTCTTTTTGTAGTTTATTTTCTTGAGCAAAAATGCAGTTCAACATTCAAATCTGTGAATATTCGTAAGCCTTTTCGTCTTTCCTAATTCTTCCAACAATGTACAAAAGATTAAACATCTAACAAAATGCCCTTATTTTCGAATCAATGGTTATCGATATACAATATATTTCAACATCATCTCATCTCTCCACTATATATCCCCACACATATAGCTGATTATATAATTCATCTTTCTGAAAAAAGAACGGATTTAATTACCTGCAAAAGTCTCATCTTCCATTCATAATCGGATCATCATTTTCACTAAATTAGAGCTTCAATTACACAGATCATTGGCTTCCTTCGACTTTTATTTGAAAAACTCGCTGCAGATACACTCAATAGCTTGTTGATATGTATCCCTTCACCTAAAAATATTTCTCTTCTCTCCGTACCTATGTTATCCAAAATTGATTCCCATTGAACCCCATTTCTTGAAACAACGGAAATATCATTACACCTAAAAATAATTGCAAACAGAGATTGCAGAACTAATGGTTTTTTATGGGATTTAATAGCATTAAAGAACTGCTGTAATCCAACGAAGTCAACACAGTCTACATTGAACAAAAGAAACCCATGCATGTTGTATGTGGCTCCTCTAAGAGAAAGTCATAATAAACACATTAAACAAAGTCTAAATAAAACCCATAGTTAATAAGACTTTAAACAATCTAAATCATCAAACTAAACCCGAGCAACATCGACAAATCCGTGCGGCTCGATCAAACTGCATAGTACTTTCGCGTAACCATTATCGCCCCAGGTGCGTCCAACGGAGTTTCTCACTATGTAATATTCATTAAGATCTTCATCAATCCCAAAGCCAACTAGAGCGACAATATGTCCCTCACTAGTAGAATTTTCATCAACAGGAGCATGCTTCTTGAACACCCCCTACACATATTTAAAAAAAAAAAAACATTAATGCCTCTCTATCCTGTGATTTAACTAATGATTTTGTGATTAATTCAAGTGGGATATCTATTTCAATTTATTTCATGCTACGTTGAGGTACATGAGACATATCATCAACATACATTTACAAACCAAAAATACATAAGAACAGTCTTCATGATCACATTGTATAACATAGATTTAACCAATTCGATTTCGAGGATAATTCATTATTGAATGAATCCAGTCAATTCAGATTTTAAGGACCAAATCAAATACAACATGATTTTGTAAAGTATCATTAGCAACAAATAAGACATTTCATGATTAAATCGGATTCTAGACGTTTAATATACAACTTTTTACCTTGCCACGGAACTCTGAGAAGTTTGAACATTGTCGAACATAAGCAATTATAGGGTGCCCGTTGAAAATTTCCTGTTTGGCATGTGAATGGCCAAAAACCTGGCTAACCGTAATCCCCGTAACTTTGGGACCCTGTAAGGGAATTTTTTTTTATTATTATTATTAGACAAAATGGTAAAACATTTTGAAATAAATTAATTGAATACTCACGGCTTTAGGAATCTTTTTGAAGGGTTGTACTTTACCAACATATCGATAGTTTGATTCCATCGCAATTCCGCCGCTACATCGAGCGGCATACTCTAGTGCCTGTAAGCCTGTAGCTAAGTAATGGTGCGCCTTATCATCATCTTCAGCGCATTCTTCATATTTTTCATCTTCAGTTTCTCTGTACCAATCCACCGAAGTGTGTCGCCACACATGATCAATAAACTGTTGACGAGAAACATGGTAATCTTTCACTTCGGGATTGGTCTTTTTATATTCATAGCCTACTATGAAAGCCGCGGCGTTCGCGTGGCAGTCTATTTGGAGAGGAAAAAAATGTGTAAACGGTAAAATTAATTTAATCTCATATATATATAAAACCACCAAAATTAAACATATTACCGTGACATCGCTGAGGTGTATAACACAACATAGGCACCCTCCTCCCCACCTCAATCTTAGTGAGATCAAAGTTTTCTGGCAGGACCCTAACCCTCTCCATAGTATGCCTTAACCTATAGCTTGGCAGGACCCTAACCCTCTCCTTAGTATGCTTTAACCTATAGCCACTCGCCATTAGGCACCAAATTGAAATATATATATATATATATATTACCTGCAAAAAAATTAGAAACGTTAATGCGTTGTAGATATAAATACACACACAAATACAACACGTCGTGGGGGGTGAGTGTGGAAGAAAGAGGTTTTGGTGTGGTGGTGAGAGGAGGGTAGTTTTCCGGCGGCGGAGTTGCGGCGGCGAGAGGAGAGAAGACTGGTTGGTGGGTATAGTGTGGAGGAAAGAGCTTTTGCTGTGGTGGTGGTGAGAGGAGGCGTTGGGTTGTACTACGACGAGGTGGATGGCCGGCCGTTTTCCGGCGGCGGAGGTGTGGCGGAGAGAGGAGAGAAGGCGGGTTGAGGGTAGTGTGGAGGAAAGAGCTTTTGCTGCGGTGGTGGTGAGAGGAGGCGTTGGGTTGTACTACGACGAGGTGGATGGCCGGCCGTTTTCCGGCGGCGGAGGTGTGGCGGAGAGAGGAGAGAAGGCGGGTTGAGGGTAGTGTGGAGGAAAGAGCTTTTGCTGCGGTGGTGGTGAGAGGAGGCGTTGGGTTGTACTACGACGAGGTGGATGGCCGGCCGTTTTCCGGCGGCGGAGGTGTGGCGGAGAGAGGAGAGAAGGCGGGTTGAGGGTAGTGTGGAGGAAAGAGCTTTTGCTGCGGTGGTGAGATGGGCGTTGTGTTGTACTAGGACGAGGTGGATGGCCGGCCGTTTTCCGGCGACGGAGGTACGGCGGAGAGAGGTAGTGTGGAGGAAAGGGTTTCCGTGACCAGAGATAAAACACGTACCTGAGAGAGAGAGAGAGAGGAGAGAGAGAGGGGTGAGGGAGGGTGTGTGTGGCGTGTTCTGTCACTGGAGAAATATGCTACGTACAACTGCATACTGTGACAGTTTTTCATAATTAAACCAGTGTTTTTTTTTTTTTCTTTTTTTTTTTTTTGAGAAAGAACCAATGGGAATATTTCGATAATGGATATTTTAAAATATTCTTTTGTAATTTATTAATTAAATCTTTTTTAATTTCTATATTGAGTGATATATTCATCAAATAATTTATCCTTTTATATATTTGGTAACGTTTGCAAACAACAATTCCAAGTTTTAAAGATAAATAATTATTTTAAAAGTTTGCTCATAACAACCAATTTTAATCTATTAGTTTGTTTAGATAAATATACAAGACCTCTTTTAATGACTATATATTGTCTCAAGTAAAAATGATATTAACTCCATGAAGCATCTATTGTTTGTTCATGTTGGGTTGACAAATCGTTACAACAAAAGTTTAATTCCTCTTATGCATTTTTCATACACAAATGAAGATCAATATTTTCTTCTCAAGAACAAGATTCAGTTCAAAAATATACCAAAGTGTCATTTGACAATTTTTTACAACAAAATGAACTATCTGTATTTTATTTTTAACAGCACAAATCCATTCAATTGGTAGGGATAAAATCATTTAGAGTTTTAAGTCATTTTCCGAATAACTATTGCGTATTTCAAATTTATCTCCTCCGTAGTGATTTGAAATTCTTAGATTCATTTAAAACAATAATTTAATCTTACTTGAACTTTTTTCTTAAATCCAAATTCTTCAATTAAAATGCATTAGAAAAAGTATATAATTCAGAACTTCGGAACGGATCTTAGAAAATTAAGTTATTATCAAAACTCTCCATTTTCATGATCATTATATATATATGAAAACAAACTTATCTCACACACACACACACACACACACACACACACACATATATATATATATATATATATATATATATGAAAACAAACAAAACTAATATATTAGTACTCCTGCAATCTACAGCATTTATGATGTAGACCAAATAAAGATACAGTGTTTCAAACATAGTCAAAACCGAAAAGTATTAGCCTAAAATAGAAAGAGACGAAACCTGAAATACTCTATCAAAGAAAAAGCACCACAAAGCAAAAAATATTGAATATTCAGGTGTCAGAAAATGCATTTAAATGGCTATCAGCCTATCACTACGGTAAATGACTTATGACACCCTTACCAACACTAACGAGTAAAACAAAATGCATTCAAAAGAATATTTGAACCAAGTATTTCAAATATATAAAAATAAACCCATCCAATTGGTTCAAAACCCCCGCCATCTCATCCAGCCCCGCCTGGTAAACACCAGTCCAATTGGGGTTCAACAGAATCTCCGGGCACCGGAATATTTCCACTCCGAGCACAATCTGGAAATCCTCCTTCGTCAGAGGTCGGAAACGAGGCGCCTCTGCAGAAGCGGGCCCCGGATCGGATTTAAAACAAAGGTCGGGTATATTTCCTGATGTAAAAAGTTAAAAGACTTATAAACGCATCTAATTTGTGTAGAGGAAGGACTTGTTGGGAATTAACAAGAAAGATGGGGGGTATAATTGGAAACCTGGAGTCTAGAAGAGATAGGAGCTAGCTCCGATTCGTATGGATCGAGGTTATCATGCTCATCATCGTCTTCGTTGGCTCTGCTCATGAGCTTGTACAACTGCCCATCTTCATCCCTCGTTCCGAAATTGTCCTCTACTTTGCCTTGGTCAAGCAGCTGTGGTCAACAGACGCATTCGCTCTCTCTGTGAAGAATTTAATCTCTCTCCTCGACCTATGCCTCCAAATGGATTATTATTGTTATTATTATTTCCGTTGGTTTGTCCAGGATTTGTTTTTAGTCTCTTTCGCTGCTCTAATTTCTCAGAAAGATTTCTGTGCTTCGATCGTAACTCCTCCAAATATTGCTCTGTATTCACTCCATCATGAAAAAAGACACAGAAAAACTCAAGAACAGTCAAAGACTCAAAATAACAAATAAAAAGATAAGAGTTGAATAGCATACAAGCATCTGTCTTCCTCTAGTTTCTTTTGTCTCTCTCTCTAATTCCTCTTCGACCTGTTTCTGTTTTTTCTGCTGCCGTGCGTCGGGTGTAGATTTGATGAATATCTGTTTCCCTTTTTGCTTAATCTGTAAAGAGATGGAGAAATTTTTCGGTAAAAATGTCACCAGAACCAGCACTATAAGAACTTATTGCATAAATCAAACTTAAAACAAGAAATATCGAAACAAAAACAATGAAAGAACTTATGAAACCTGGTCAGGTGTGAGCATCTCATCAGGTACACTAATCAGATTGTATTTTTCGCTCGAGGAAGAATCCACCTTCTCGACACTTTCAGCAGGCTCTCCCTTTGCTTTGCGCAAAGATTGCGTTGCTTTTGAAAAGGCCGATTCGACTTCCTGTTTTGAATTGTGTACCGATTTTGCAAGAATCGATGTGACATCATCTTCTGTTGTTGCATGCCTTAGCCTATGTAACAGCATTTCCAAGTCTCGTACTTCGTTTTCGATATCGTTTATTCGGTTAATCCTTTTAGCTTCAGCCATCTCCCTTAATCTTTGGCCCTGCTTCTCTCTTAAAGCTGCCTTTCTAGCAACTTCTTCCTCTGACGGGGCCTCCTCGACTGGTGTAGGGATCCAAGGAAGCTGCCAGCACCTCGTCTTTTCTTCAGCTTTCTTGTCCCCTTTCTAAGACAATGTGGACGGATTAAAAAGCATTTTAGTGGCTTAAGTCAGTGAGAAAAGAGTTACCTGAAAGAGTCGAACTTCTGATGCGTAATCTAGTGCTATATAACAGTGTTCCATCTTCAGGTTTTCAACTTTTTCCCATGTAAGATGAGACCTGGTTTACGAGATTACTATTAGTGCAAGTCTCGTTTAATCGAATATTTTTCTGTCTGCACTGGGAATAGTTTACGAGGAAAAAAGAAAAACATGATTAAACAAAAAATCTCATGTCTGCACTGGGAATTTGATAATTTAGATCAGAAGAAAAAGAAGAAGAAAAACAACAATTCAAAACCAAATATCAGGCTCGACTCTAAAAGAAAGTTCATGAAATATATATTTATGATGGCATAATGAACAATGAATAAAGGAAAATAACAAAACAAGTATCAGAATAGAATGACATCCAATTAATGGTATAAAACTGTAACAATCATCAAATCCTAAGAGAAAGAATGAAAATGCAGAGGACACTTATGATGAGCTGTTTCCAACCACAACTATTTCACGTTTGTTTCTTAAAATCTTATTTGGCAGAAGATTGCAGCAGTTAGTTTTAATACTCTGCAATATATACTGAGAAACATAACAACTTAGAGAAAAGTATAACAACTTCTCAGATGCAGTATAGGACCATAAGTTTTTTAAGTTAATTTTGAGTTAAACTTCGACAGCTTTAAGATAGACAATGGTTGTAGTTCACAGCGGCAACAAAACTATGCCATGTAGACGTGTCCAAATGGGCCGTAGAATGAGAAACACTTCCTGGCTTGCTGCTTTCTGTTAAACCTGATTAAAACGATAAAAAGTTCTCCAATATATTGACATTCGGCACAGAACTACCACTGATAGAGTTTAAATTGAGTACTTGTTATTACTACGCTAAGCTAGAATGTTTTGTGAGCTTCAGATGATAGTATATAGCGTAGAAATTTCATTTTGATATGGAAATGGAAAAAAATGAAAATTCAGAAACTATATGGACATGACATTAAATGTAAAGCAACCTTAAAATTCAAGAAAAGACAAACAGTAATTAAGTTTCTTAATATGTCTTTCTTTTCCTCGAATTCTCACAGCAAAGTACGACCCATCCAGTTTCATCGACAAAAACATTTACACCCTCAAAGTATTACAGTATTCCAGAGACGACAAAGAAAATTCGAGTTGTGACTGGAGGAATAGTAAGGACAAGAAAATAACATATATTTGCAAGAAATAGTTATAATCAAGGGATTGATCCTTAAGAATAGATGAATCAGCTTTACACATTCAATTATCTCGAATTGATAAGCAACGTTGCCGTCGAAAGCCGAGCGAGGTCCTGACCTAGTACAATCAAAGTATTTCAGTAATGCGGGATTATGGTCCCCTACAACAGTTATCGTTTCACCTGTACAAAAAAAATAAACATAAATAGAATTTTCGTTAGTGACTTCAATCTATAGAAAATGATG